TCAAAAACAAGACTTGAAACTAGAAGATAATGAAGCATGCATCTGTCCAATCATGTCCAAGGTTGAATCTAACCCTATGGAAATGATCATGTGTGAAGATGACATTTTCAGACACATAAACACTTTTACTTCCCATGTGTTCATTATCAGAAAGATTTTAGGGGATTCATGCCACCAAAATGAAAGAATAAAATAAGAGGAAGAATCATGGGATCCAGGAACACAGGGTTCAATTCAAGAGAGGCAGAGATTCCCTAGAATGACAAGGAACGAGATCCTAGGATAACAGCTGTGCACCAGGGCTTGGTGATGAACCCACACAGACAGAAGGGAATGAAAACCTCCATTAAGGAAAAAAACCGTAACTGGCAAAATATCTGATGTCAATAGCCGGGTGAAAACTTATGCCGAGAGGTAACTGAAAATTATAAAATGGTTACAAAAAGATAAAAATTAAAATAAGCATATGACAAGTAATACAATTAGTAACTTCAAAAAATAAGAAAGGTAACATAATCATAGATCAATAATATGTAAAGACATCGATTAAATGATTATTGATTCAACCAACTATGAAACAGTATTATGTAGAGTGGAATGGGTAGAGAAAGCAGAAGAGATATAAGGTTGAGGGAGATAATCTTCATTGACTACAATTAAAAAGTGAAAATATAACCCTAAACAAAAAAGAATAATATACACAAATTGGATAGTAAAATATGGAAGAGAAATTCCCAAAGGAAGAAATAGAATACTCCAGAGTGGTTGACTCTGAAAAGGATAACTATTAGGAGAAAAATGAAGGCAGAAAGAACACAGTTATTTTGGTATAAGTCTCTGAATATATTGACCTTAAAAACTCTATACATTATTTGTTTTGAAAATAATTAAAATTATAATTAGAAAAAAAGAAAAGGAGAAAGGAACTATCCACCATGAAATAAAATTGCCAAAGCCATTTATACTGTCACCATCCTCATCACACCAATGTTCTCTTAGAAAATATCTTGATTGCATTATTTAATTCCAAAAATTGTGTTGATATGCCTTAGCATGCCAGCCTTTTCCCTTTTGAATTACAATGCATATAGGTTTAAAAAGAAAGAGAGAAGCAGAGAGGTGGACAGCAGATGGAGTCCGAAACTTCATCATCTAAGTTTGTTTGGATAAAATAAGATGCCACTGGCTTCTGTATTTCATTCTCAAAGATAATTTTTGTTTTTATTTTTT